CCCCAAAACCCCAAAACCCCAAAACCCCTTTGATATCCTCAAAAATTGGATAACTATTTTAATCTATTATGAATAGATAATTTTTTTGAGCCATTCCTTGATTTCTAATCTAACCTGCTTGAGCTCATCAGAGTCATCCTCTCTTTCATTATATAGTTCAACGCAGTGAGCACAATTTTCACACTGCAAGAGTCTCGATACTTGGTTGAGCTCATCATAGACATGAGTAACTCCGACCCATTGCCATGGATCTTCTCCGCCATTAGTGTAGAATGTATTCGATCCTCTGATCATGTCGCTTCCAAAGAATACATTGGTTTCTCTTGCTTCAGTGATTATTTGGTCACCAAATGATTCTCTGCATCCTTGCTGCCAGTAAGGAAGCTTCAATAATTTAGATCTCATTGATACACCATCATAAGGAGTTTGGAAGTACCCATATTCAGTACAATATTGATAATGCCATGCATCACCTGTTGAAATATGACCATTATTTTCAGTTCTCAGAACTTCATCAAGATATTTATAGTCATTCTCATCATAGTTGTCAGCCACCTTCTTAAATCTCTCGAGGATTGGAAGATCAGCAATATTTTCTAAGAACTCACAAAGTTGGGTTCTTTTACCATATTGTACCTTTCCAACATAGAAATGAACAAGAGTTCTGGCAAATAAGGCATTGTCAAGATCTGTAGCGTCAAAATAACTTTTGATATCGTTTAGAGTCGATTCGTCACCACTTTCAACAAGGCTATCATAGTATTCTGTGAAATCTTGGATCACTTTTGTACATGTTTCTGAGCTCCTCATTGTTGAGTTATAGATTTGGTAGTCAAACATTGTCATGTCTTCAACAGCTTGAACAACTGCTGATGATGCCCATGAAGCTTCAGCAATATGAGGATATTTTGCTCTGAACCATGCTGATAATGCTCCTGGATAGGATCCGCCAACTACAACGATCTTTCTTTTCTCTCCTCCATGAGTTTTAATAAGTTCATTGTTCAAAGTAGAAAGGAACACAGCTAAATCAGCAAGAGCATGTTTAGCAGTCAAGTATCCAAGGTCAGCAACATCATTAGAATCAGGGAATGGTTGAGATTCTCCATAATACCTATGCTCTAAGTATACAAACAATCCATTAAATTCTTGAGCAACTTTTACTGGGAATTGCCTCTCTTCATTAACTCCACAGACATACTCTCCACAAATATATAAGAAGATTGGGCCTTTTTCGTAATCAAATCCATCGGCATTGTACCAGAATCTTTGTGAGTAAGTTCTTTCGTCAGTTGGATCGAAGTGGTCTAGAATAGATCTGATTAGAAGAGGTTTTGATTCAAATTACCTATGAGATTTTCAAATTCAGACTGAATGAATCCATCTCCTTTCATTTCAAAATTCTCCTTGAAACCAACTGCTGATGCAGTCACAGATGAAATAAGAAGAATAGCTATGCCAAAGAAGGCTGTGCTCTTTTTCATTTTTATATATTTATATAATTTTCTATTGATTTGTATTGATAAGGGGTTTTGGGGTTTTGGGGTTTTGGGGGTTTTGGGG